TGCCTTTCCAATACAATGAAACTAAACAATTTCTAAAAAACAGAACCCAGAAAAGCAATATTTGACACAGTATTTTTCCATCTTTATTTAGATTTCTTAGAGCTCATTACACACAATTTGAAATAGTTCATTATAATATTTTTACAATTCCATAACTAGTAAAACAACGTGTATAATGTCCTTAATACACCGTGAAACATATTTAAGACAGGTTATGAATAAACTTGAACTAACATTATAGATAGTGAGGGAGTAACCAAATACTTAGATTAATGAACAGGCTAAGTGAATTTTAATTGTAGTAATTTGACTGTTAGTCTCCATATATAAAGAGAACCTCCACTAGAAATGAGTTCCCAGGGGCTTCCCAACAAAGAAAAGCTTGTATGTGAGGGTATAAGCAGATATAAATTGAATCAATTGGCTAATTACGTTTTTAAGAGGTACTTAAGACATTTGAAAATTCCTTAAATACTTTCATGTTAGAATGTCAATTACATTATTTCAAGTTGTTATAGTAAAACATACAGAAGTTGCATATGTTGAAAATTCCTTCCCTGAAGCTGGCCATTTTAAGTGATTTCTAGAAATTTGTAACTTAATCTATGTAGCTGCTCAGTGAACTATCTCACAAAGCATTATTAAAAACCTGTAAATCAGCCGGCGCCGTGGCTCAATAGGCTAATCCTCCACCTTGCGGCGCCGGCACACCGGGTTCTAGTCCCGGTCGGGGCACCGGATTCTGTCCCGGTTGCCCCTCTTCCAGGCCAGCTCTCTGCTATGGCCAGGGAGTGCAGTGGAGGATGGCCCAGGTGCTTGGGCCCTGCACCCCATGGGAGACCAGGAAAAGCACCTGGCTCCTGGCTCCTGCCATCGGATCAGCGCGGTGCGCCGGCTGCAGCGGCGGCCATTGGAGGGTGAACCAACGGCAAAAGGAAGACCTTTCTCTCTCTGTCTCTCTCTCACTGTCCACTCTGCCTGTCAAAAAAAAAAAAAAAAAAACCTGTAAATCTCATTTTGAGAGTCCATAATCCTATTTCCAAATTCCTCTGTCTACCTCCAGTAAATAAGCTCAAATTTGCACATCCCTGTCAATTACAAAATAGAAAGCAGAACTCAAGGAAAGTACATGTGGTTTTCTCAGCTGTCTACATGACTAATACTGAGTACTGAATGCTCAGTGTTCCTACCACTTGTTTTCCTCCTTTGTGGACATTACAGATCTTAACAACTAAATTCTAATCACTGATTTTTGTCTCACCCCTTAATCAGCAATTGAAGGCAGACTGTCCTCATTTCTTTATTTCTTGATTCTGACAGTATCTGGTATGTGTTAAATGCTCAATAAGTATTTGTTGAATGAATAAATAGAAAAACCAACTAAATAAGATTGATTCCCAATGTTCTTACCAAACATTATAATAAATATTTCATTACACAAAATGACTTTTCATATCAACTCAAAAAAGAAAATGAATAATCTCAACCTATTTGTGATAATTCCATTAATAATTTTGTTCATTTATGTTCACTAGCACAACACAGGATTAGCTTTCAGCACCTGCTCTGCATTCTCACATTCACTTGTTGACTGTAGATTAGTACCAAATGACAACTCCTAACCAAAAAGCTTCATGAAATATGAACATTAACATTGTATTATTAAAATAAAGTCTCATCTAAGCCTATATATCTACTTTCAAATCAAGCCTTTTTCATGATAAATTAGAATTAAGACCTAGCTACTTTTAATTCCAATTTCCCTTCGGTACAGAAATGAATATGCTATTAAGTAACCATTTCTTCCAGTTTTAATAATAGAACCACTTTATATTTCCTTCTCTTTCATGTTGTTACAGGCAGAACTCTACTACACTGAATTCTGTTAGATTGATTGTAATTCCTGTTAGAAATTTTATTACAGGAGTCCACATTTAACCAAAGTTTCATTTATTCCTGGCTAACCAAGATCCAGAAATACTACATGAGAAATTCCAGAAATAAACAATTCTTCAAATTGTGTGCTGTTCTGAGCAGCATGATGAAATCTTGTGCCATTCCGCTCCATCCTGCCTGTATTGCTCTGGGCAATGTAACCATACTGTATATGCTACCTGCCTATTAATCACTTAGCAGCCATCTCAATTAGCAGATTAGCTGTCATGTGTCACAGTTCTTATGTTCAAGTAACCTTTATTTTACTTAATAGCCCCAAACCACAAAGCACTATATTGTTGCTACAATGTATTGTTATGATTCTTCCATTTTAAGATGAACTATTATTGTTAATTTCTTACAGGTCTAAATTAGACTTTACTATATGTATGTATGCATCATATGATTCACAACTTTCCAAGATTTCAGGCTTCTACTGGTGGTCTTGAACATACTCCTCACAGATATGGCAAGACTACTATATATATCTCATATAGGATTCAGGATTGATTTATCAGAGATACTAGGCTTTAGGAAATAAAAACCAGCATCTTAAATAGCAGTAAAAAGTGACCCAGGTAATTGTTTTCATCAGCACAGAGATCATTGTGTAGGATAGTATTCTTTATTTTGGAATTTTGTCAAGAAATAAACAATTTTTTCTCTCCTTCACAGTAATAAACTGGTTCCAATAAAGTATTTTCTATATCAGCTTACTCCTCATAAATAAATCACTTTTGCAATTGACTCCTAAGGAATGGAAATATTTGAATTTTTAAAAAATATAGAATCAGAATTTGTTTTAAATGGAAATTTATCTGTAGTATGTTACACATAAAATCCTTAGACAAGTAAACATTAAAGAAGTCAGTGACAAAGTATTCATATAACTATGTCACAGATCTCAAGAAACATAATCAGGAAAGATTTAAGGTTACTCAGTGCCATTCATAAAACCCAACAAACCTTAAAACTGCAATTCGTCTTCCAAGTAACCAAAATATTAGTTTATACTGAGCCAAGATTTGGAAAATCTCCACTGTTGAAATATTCATGTTCTTAATTTTTCAATCAAAGAATCAGCCTGTAATTAAAAAATACTCTAGGTATAATAGCCTCTTTCAAATAGTTCTCCCAGCATCCTTATTGTATATGTATAACCACCCAGAAAAGCTGGTTATTACATAATGTATTCCTAAAATTATCTAACAGAAAATCTGAATAGTTTTATAAACAATAGGATAGTAAAGGTACATTGTATAAAATAGTGTGTTACATACACTGTATTTTTCATTGAAGTTTTTCAATAAGAAAAGGAACGTAAATACTAAAGTTTAAAAAAATATATATCTAGAGGAATCTTATATTAGTAAATAAAAAAAGCAAATCTAAAAAAGTTACATACTATACAATTCCAACTGTATAACATTCTGTAAAAGGCAAAATTATGGAGAAATCAAAAAGATCAGTGGTGCCCAGATGTTAGAAGGGAGGGAGGGAGAGAGGGATGAATGGGCAAAGCACAGAGGATTTTCAGGGCAGTGAAACGCTCTGCATGATATTATAATGGTAGATACATGTAAGGAATTTGAGCATCCACAGATTTTGGTATTTTGGAGAAGACCTAGAACCAACCCTCCATAGAAATCAAATGATAACTATAGACATATCTTAAATATATATATGCATATATATTTAAATAAAATCACCTGGACAAGTTGGAGAGAGATGCTTGACATACAAAGTATTTAGAAATGAGGTACTTTTTAATTTCTTATGGCCTATGACTAGAATAATACTATTCATTAATTAATGAGAAATAAATACTATTTGATATTTGTTCAGATAAAGTAAATACAGGCCATCATATCATCATGGGCTCATTACAATAAGAGCTGAGTAAACTACCTGTCAAGTGACCATAGAGAAAGAGCCACTTAATAACCAAGGCTTGACAGTCCACAGGCTTAGAAACCTCTCAATTTTAGTCCCAGTTTTGACTCAGCAGGGTAGAATTTTGAATTTTTCAGGCTCCAGGTTTCAAACTCAGATTTGGTAATTGATAGTACTATTTCATCCCTTTTAAAAGGGGTTTAAACTAACCATCAAAAATTATAAATACTCAATTTTGGCAATGATGTTGGTGATTATGATTTCAGAAGTAGTAGTTGACATTTCCTGAGTACTTACTATTTGGTAAGGTACTGTTTTAAGCATTTTAGACATGAATTAACTTCTCTCTCTCGTCAACTCTAGGGCTAGGTATGGCTGCAGGTGATAAAGAACTTCAGTCTAAAAAAGTTTAAGTAACTTGCACATGATCCCTCAAGTAAGCAATGGAGCCAGATGGGAATCCAGTTTGATTCTTAATGCCATGGTTCATCCACATCAGATCCCTTGCTTGCAATAGGAGACTGAGACATAGCTTATCTTTTTATAGATCTGATGACCTAGAAAATCCTCAAAATTAAAATATTAGTTTGGATACATGCAAGCAGCTATTTTTTTTTTTTTTTTTTTTTTGGACAGGCAGAGTGGACAGTGAGACAGAGAGAAAGGTCTTCCTTTTGCCGTTGGTTCACCCCTCAATGGCAGCTGCGGCCAGCACACTACGCCGATCCGAAGCTAGGAGCCAGGTGCTTCTCCTGGTCTCCCATGCAGGTGCAGGGCCCAAGTACTTGGGCCATCCTCCACTGCACTCCCGGGCCACAGCAGAGATGGACTGGAAGAGGAGCAACCGGGACAAAATCCGGCACCCCGACCGGGACTAGAACCTGGTGTGCTGGCACCACAAGGTGGAGGATTAGCCTAGTGAGCCACGGTGCCGGCCAGTAATATTAATTTTGATCAGCCAGTCACGGTTGTGCTTGATTTTTCCACTCCGTATTACTGCCCCCCTGCTCGTAATTTTGAGCCACGGCGCTGTCCTTACAAGCAGCTATTTTAAAGTATTTTTGGTGACCAAAACTATGAGAGCTGTAAGTGCACAGAAAACAAAAACTACAACAAAAAGGACATACATTTTTGATATGTTTATATGCTGGTGGTAAAACTGTAATACTTACAGTGATAAACCAATAGGAATTAGCTCTATAAACCAACTTTGATAAGAAGCCAAACTGACGGACTGGAGCCATAACATGAAGGTGCAAGTGAGAAATGGAACAGAATGGAGGCATATGAAATCCCATCCTAAAGCAGAAAGATAAAAGATGATTGACAGATCAATGCTGTAGTACTTTAAAGCTAATGACCAGCTTAAAACAAATAAATATTTAAGATATCCAAGAGAGGCTACTTAAGGTAGACAAGTTACCACTCATCTTTTTTTTATTTAAGATTGTTTTATTTGAAAGGCAGAGTTACAGAGAACGAGAGAGAGCATACCCACCTACTTGTTTACTCCCAAATAGTCGCAATGGCCAGAACTGGGCCAGACCAAAGCCAGGAATCAGGAGCTTCTTCCAAGTCTCCCACATGGATGGCAGGGACATAAGCACTTGGGCTGTCATCCGCTGCTTTCCCAGGCACACCAGCAGGGAGCTGGATGGGAAGTGGAGCACCTGGGACTCGAAACTATATAGGATGCCAGTGCTGCAGGTGTCGGCTTAACCCTTTAGGCCACAGGGCTGGCCCAAAATCATCTATCTCTTTAAACACTTTTGAGTATTCACACAGTTCTCCACCTCTTGTTGAAATTCATGGTAACAACTCTTTATCAAGGAAGACCTCAACAGCATATTATGCCTCACAATAACCATTCTAAATTGAGATGGCATTATGTCTTATCACCTCAGTCTTATCACAGTAAGTTTTAATTTTCTAAAATATGTTCCTGCAATGAATCCCTCCCCCCACCAAAAAAAAAGACACTCTAGTGGTATTCCTTTATTGCAAGACATAGCCAGAAGAGTATGCCTTCTCCTTTAATAAAGTGCTCAGTAATTTCTTACCAACCAATATACCAGTAGTGAGATTAATCATGTGATTTTAAAAAATCTTTATTATCCCCATTTCTTGTTTGTTTACTAAAAACATCTACTGTTTGTTTACTAAATAATTTATGTAGTAACAAGTTATGTGGTAAATTTATGTAGTAACATCATAATTATCTTTTATAAAATTTGGGTTTTTTAAGATTTATTTATTTATTTGAAAGGCAGAGTTACAGAGAAAGAGGGAGAAGAGAGAAAAATAGATCTTCAATCTGCAGGTTCACTCTCTAAATGGCTGTAATGGCTAGGACTAGGCCAGGCAGAAGCCAGGAGCCAGGAACTCCATGCGGGTCTCCTATGTGGATGGCAAGGGCCCAAGTACTTGGGCCGTCACCAGCTGCTTTTCCCAGGGGCATTAGCAGGGCACTGAATTGCAACTGGAGCAGCTGAGACTTGAATCAATGCTTACATGGGATGCTATCACTGCAGGTAGAAGCTTAATGTGCTGTGCCACGTTTTTAAGATAATTCCTTTAAATAGTATAAATTTTTAAATATGATTTAATCTCTTAAAATCAGTTTATAGTTTTACAAGTCCACTTAGACTGACTGAAGCGAAGCATACCTGTATCAAAACCAAAGCCTATAACTATCTGCCTGTTCAAACTAGGAGCAACCAGAGTTCGGGAAGAAGGCAAGGAGAAGTGCTATCCTGTAGCACTCATCTTCTGGGACCAATGAAGTACAGTCAGATACGCAGCACATACTGAAAAGCTGCCACCAGTACCTGAATAGAGAGACCAGGTTTTCCCTCTGTAAAACAAGATTTATATAACGTAGAACCAAGTAATCTAGAAGCTAGAAGCAACTCAATGGTTCACTCAACTCTTTCATTTTATTTTGATTTTTATTTTTTTAAAGATTTATTTTATTTATTTGAAAGACAAAGTTACATAGAGAGGTAGAGACAGAGAGAGAGAGGTCTTCCATCTGCTGGTTCACTCCCCAGAAGGCCACAACAGTCGAAGCTGTGTTGATCCAAAACCAGGAGCTTCTTCCGGGTCTCCCACACGGGTGCAGGGGCCCAAGGACTTGGGCCATCTTCTACTGCTTTCCCAGGCCATAACAGAGAGCTGGATCAGAGCAGCCAGGACTTGAACCGGCGCCCATATGGGATGCCAGCACTTCAGGCCAGGGCTTTAACCCACTGCACCACAGCGCCGGCCCCTCAACTCTTTAATTTTAAAGATGAGAAGCCAAGATCCAAAAAGTCACAGAGTAGTAAAACTTAGAGCTAAACTCAGAATATTTGACTCCTTGTCCAGTGTTCATTACTCCAGTGACTGGGAAAGGAAATGTATAGCTTCCCGGCAAAGGGTCTCGAATACCTTCTACTCTTTGTCATTATCACACTTAGATAATATTTAAGTTTCAGAAGATTTTCACACACATAATCTCATTTGTGCCTGCAAGTAGGCAAGGCAGGTATTATCTTTTAGGTTAAATGAAAGACTAATGCTGCGAGCACAAGTACGGTACACAATATGTAGCCTGGGCAGTATTAGAATTCAAACCTATTCTGAATTCTGGTTAAGAAGTATTAGAAGGGTAGCCAGCAGTGTAGTACAGTGGGTTACGCTAGCGCTCACAGCACTCGCATCCCCTATCAGAGCGCTAGTTCGAGTCCCACCTATTCTGCTTCTGATCCAGTTTCCTGCTAATGTGCCTGGAAAAGCTGTGGAAGATGATGTAGGTACTTGGACCTCCACCACCCATTTGGAAGACCAGGATGGAGACCCTGTTTTCTGGTTTCAGCATAGCCCAGACTGGGCAGTTGCAGCCCTTGTGGGTGTGAGCCAGTGGATAGAAGATCTCTCTGTGTCTCTCTTACTGTCTCTCCCTCTGTGTGGCTTTGTCTTTCAAATAAATTTTAAAAAATCATTAAAAAAAAAAAAAAGAACTATTAAAAGTAATCTCCACTATACTATACTTGCCTTGGTACTGCTTGGGTCACATAAGGCAAAGTTAGAATTTTTTTTTTAAGAAGAAACCCATTACTTAGATTAATTAAAAATGGTTTGCAGGAACCAGTGCTGTGGTGTAGCAGGTAAAGCCGCTGCCTGCAGTGCCAGCATTCCATATGGGCACCGGTTCAAGTCCAGCTGCTTCACTTCTGATCCAGCTCTCTACTGTGGCCTGGGAAGGCAGTAGAAGATGGCCCAAGTGCTTGTGCCCCTGCCCTCAACATGGGAGACCAGGAAGAAGCGCCTGGATCCTGGCTTCAGATCAATACAGCTCTGGCCATTGCGGCCAACTGGGGAGTGAACCAGTGGATGGAAGACCAACGTTTCTCTCTCTCTGCCTCTCCTTCTCTCTTTGTATAACTCTGACTTTCAAGTAAATAAATAAAATCTTCTTTTTTAAAAAAAAAAAGGGTTTACAAATTAAACATTGTGGTTTTGCTCAAACTCTGGTGAGTGCCAGAGTTCAGTTCAGCAGGCAATGAATTCAAGTTAATTTTATGCTAGAAGTAGAATAATTATTAAATCAGGTAAAATATTTATTTAAGAAAATTTACTTCACACAGATTTAAAGAAATGCATTGTTTGAACAAAGAAAAGTGGACTTCTTATGTACCCATTGCCTAAATAAACTTGTCTGTTCAAATTATAAATGAAAATTTTTAGAAGATGTGGAGACAGGAGTGGAAGAAATTACATTAAATTTATACTACATACATATATAGGTTACATATATATAAATTAAATATAAATGTTTATATATATATATACACACACACACACACGCATATACATACATACACCACCAATGAACTATATTCTCACTTTCACGAAAACTGCATTTAGAGTCTCAGAGAAGAGTTAGGGAGAAAACAGTAGAGGAAACTATGTAAATTGGAGGAATACAATGGACCTACATGGAGGGCAAAGATGCACACAACTTAGGACCCCACCAGCCAAGAGCTTCCTCTGCACCAGCATTGGAAAGCAAAGTGAGACCAGACTGCAGTAACCCAAGCCACTGGCGAAAGAGCTGCAGGAAGAGCCTAGAGGGAATCCAGCTTGGAGACCCCTGGGGGATAGCGATAGTGTACCCACCAAACTAGAGTAGAAAAAACAAAGTGGGGAGGGAATGCACGCTTTCTCTCTCTCCCCAGTCATCCTGCAAAGTCACCTTGTAACAAGCTGATAGAGAGTAGGCACCATTTTGGACATTTGTAACGGCTGTGCCAGCTCATGTTCACGCCCAGCAACAAACCAAGCAAAGACTCCTAAGTCTGGTGGGGAGAAAAGACTGAGGGCTGGGTGCTCATGACTGTGGGAGGCCTGTGTGCCAGGACTGTGAAAACGCTGAGGAGATCTCTATGAAGAGAACAACAAAACATTAAAGACAGAAATAGAAGATACAAAAAATGAAAAATCTTCCATATTCATGGATTGGAAGAATCAATATCATCAAAATGTCCATTCTTTTGAAAGCAATCTACAGATTCAATGCAATACCAATCAAAATACCAAAGACATTCTTCTCAGATTTAGAAAAAATGATGCTGAAATTCATATGGAAACACAGGAGACCCCTAATAGCTACAGCAATCTTATACAACAAAAACAAAGCTGGAGGCATTACAATACCAGATTTCAAGACATACTACAAGGCAATTATAATCAAAACAGCCTGGTACTGGTACAAAAACAGATGGATATACCAATGGAATAGAATAGAAACACCAGAAATCAATTCAAGCATCTGCAACCAACTTGTATTTGACCAAGGAGCTAAAACCAATCCCTGGAGCAAGGACAGTCTCTTCAAATAATGGTGCTGGGAAAACTGAATTTCTACATGCAAGAGTATGAAGCAGGACCCCTACCTTACACCTTATACGAAAATCCACTCAAAATGGATTAAAGACCTAAATCTATGACCTGATAACATCAAATTACTAGAGAACATTGGGGAAACTCTGCAAGACATTGGCACAGGCAAAGAGTTCTTGGAAAAGACTTCAGAGGCATAGGCAGTCAAAGCAAAAATCAACAATCAGATTACATGAAACTGAGAAGTTTCTATACTGCAAAAGAAACAGCGATTTAGGCAACCAACGGAATGGGAGAAATTATTTGCAAACAATGCAACCGATAAAGGATTAATAACCAGAATCTACAAAGAGATCAAGAAACTCCACAACAACAAACAACCCACTTAAGAGATGGACCAAGGACTTAAACAGACATTTTTAAGAGAGGAAATCCAAATGGCCAACAGACACATGAAAAAATGCTCAGGATCAGCAACCATCAGGGAAATGCAAATCAAAACCACAATGAGGTTTCACCTCACCCCAGTCAGAATGGTTTTCACACAGAGATCAACAAACAACAAATGCTGGTGAGGATGTGGGGGAAAAGGTACCCTAATCTACTGTTGCTGGGAATGTAAATTGGTAAAACCACTATGGAAATCAGTTTGGAGACACCTCAGAAATCTGAATATAGATCTACCTTTTGACTCAGCCATCCCACTCCTGGGAATTTACCCAAGGGAAATAAAATCAGAAAATAAAAGAGTTATCTGCACCCCTATGTATATTGCAGCTCAATTCACAATAGCTAAGACACAGAATTGACCTAAATGGCTGTCAACTGAAGACTGGATAAAGAAATTATGGGATATGAACTCTATGGAGTACTACACGTGGAAAAAAAAAAAAAGAAATTGTCATTTGCAACAAAATGGATGAATCTGGAAAACATCATGCTGAGTGAAATAAGCCAGTCCCAAAGGGAAAAATACCATATGTTCTCCCTGATCTGTGATAACTAATAGTGCACCTAAAAGGAAAACTGTAGAAGTGAAATTGACACTTTGAGGAGCAATGACTTCAATAGCCTTTGTCTTGACTGTTGAACAGTTGTTTTTTTTTTTTCTTAGTGGAGAATGGGACTGGGAATGGGAGAGGAAGGAATAGGTGGGGTGGGAGTAGGGATGGGAAGGCAGGTATGATAGGAAGAATCACTATGTTCCTAAAGTTGTACTTATGAAATTTGTATTCATTAAATAAACAGTTTCTTTGGGGGAAAAATGCATCTAACCCACAAACTCTGCTTCCTCTGCTCCAATTTTCATGAAGAAATAACATTTCAGAAACATTGTTTTCTATCTATAAGTATACATACCTTGCATCTGTGAAGTCAGTGAAATTATTTTTTTCAAGAATAGCTTTTCCAACAGTTACCATGCTCTCAACTATAAAAAAGAAAGAAATATTACACTCCAGTAGATGTTAAATTCACTAAATTGCTGTTAATCTTTAGAGTTCTAGTCAATAGTCCTAACAAATGGGCAAACATTTAAAAGCACATTCAACAGCTTTAAGCTACTGCTTATGAATAACTGAAATGAAGGTTCAAATTGAGCCCCAGGGCAACACCACACAGACTTTGGACAACTGCTGAGAGGTAAGGTGGCTGCTGAGGAAATCTGATCATACTGCAGTCGAATTCTAATGACCAGGATACCAAGTAGTTAAACAGAAACTGAACTAAGATGAAGAGTGTGTTCACTGCAGCAGTATTCCTAATAGCCAAGATACGGAATCAACCTCAGTGTCCATCAGTGGATGAATGGGTAAGGAACTTGTGGTATACATATGCAATAGAATACTACCCAATTTTAAAAAAGGAGGAAATTCTGTCCATTATGACAACATGGATGAACCTGGAGGACATTATGTGAAGTGAAACAAGCAGCATAAAAAGACAAATAACACATGATCTCATTTGTATGTGGTATCTAAAAAATTAAACTCATGGACACAGAGAATAGAATGGTGGGTACCAGGGAAGATGTGGGTTATAAGATAGAAGATTGCGGTTATATAGAAGGAATAAAAGCAAGATTACTGTTTCAACATGGTGATTATAGTTATTAACAATGTATTTATTGTAAGTGCTCTTGCCACACACACACACACACGCACACAAATGATAGAGGTGTTAAGGTAAGGTACATATTAATTAGCTCAATTTAGTCAACTCACAATGTATACATATTTTAAAACACCAGGTTGTACACATGAATATATATATATATATATAATTTTGTCAATTTAAAAACTTTTAATGTATCTTTGAATCTAAAACAGAGATACAATATCCTACAAGTCAGATTAGCCCCTACTAGCCAAACATTTGTATAATGACTTGGGGTTCCAAACTTGCTACCTTATCACCTTTCTTCCCTTAGTGTTTTATGGCCTTCAAATGGGAATAAGCCAGTCCATTAGAAAACTTTAATGATAAATGGAAAAATTCCTAAAAAGGTAAAGTGAGATCTCCAATAATCATAAGAACAAAAATTGAAACTTTTAACAAGAAAAGAGAAATGCTAGCATATTTCAATCAGTTAAGTAAATTTAATTTGGATATGATCTTGATAAGCACAAAGGCTACCCTCTAGTTATAATCATGTATATTCTGAAATATACTGATAACACTGCAGATGACTAAGAAGCTGTGCAGTACACAGGAATGAGAATTTAAAGACTGGTAATGCTGGAGCAAGTACTTGGTCTTGTGGCTAAGACATCAATTAGGGGGCCAGCATTGTGGCATAGAAGGGAAAGCTACTGTCTGCAGCGGCGGCATCCTTGGGTGCTAGTGCTAGAGGAAGAGCTACCCCACTTCCTATGCCGCTCCCTGCTACTGTGCTTGGGAAAGCAGTAGAACATGACCCCAGTGCTTGGGCTCCTGCACCCACATGGGAGATCCCAAAGGAGCTCCTGACTCCTGACAGTGGCCTGGCCTTGCCTTGGCCTTCACAGCCATTTGGAGAATGAACCAGCAGATGGAAGACCTCTCTCTCTCTCACTCTCTCTCTCTCTGTTTCTTCCTCTCTCTGTGTAACTCTTACTTTCAAATAAGTAACTAAATCTTTAGAAAAAAAAAAAAACAAACACTGGTTAAGAAGTCTGCATTCCAATCAGAGTACATCAGATTGGAGTTCAATACCTGGTTCTGACTCCTGATTCCACCTTCTTGGCAATGTACATCCTGGGAGGCCACAGTGATGGCTTAAGAAATTGGGCTCTTGCCACTGATGCAAGAGACCCAGATTGAGTTTTAGTTTTCGGCTTCAGCCTGGTTCAGCCCCAACCATACCAGGCATCTGCAGAAAGAACTAGCAGATGGAAACTCTCTCTCTCTTGCTCTAGCTCTTTCCCTTCCCCCCAAATAAATATTTAAAAAATAAAATAAAAAATGGTAACGTGGTGGTATAAACATTAATCAATGGTACATCAAGATCTTAAAGAAGCTTCTTATCCCTCTTTAAAAATTCTACCACAATTTATCATTATTGTAAGCTACCCTAAAGCACTGATCAAATTAATCCAAGACCCTAATGACAAAGGCTATCAAAGCCATTTGGAGCAGTCTTAAGAAATGACAGCTTAAGTCATAGAGGGCATGAGTAGGAAAATGTGGAATAATCCTGCAAGAGGCAAAATTCAGATTCTTTTCAGAAGCTAAAAGTTCATAATTAAAACCTCATAATTCAACTAAGGTGCTAATTCATCTACATAGGAGACTCATGGCAGTATCAACAAGAACTCACTATCAGGAAATATACTTTTCTGTCACATCATAACTTCTGCTTGTAATTTTTCATAGTACTTTTCACTTTCAACCCAAAATCATCACTAAAAAGTTAGCATAAAGCAGCATATCTTTTAAAGATTTAAAAAATTAAATAACAAGATCTCTGGGATTTGCTTAAATCTACTATGAGAGAAAGGAGGGTAGGGTGGGGATTAGCACTATGTCAAGAAATCTGTATATATGAAATTTGTTTATCTTAAATTAAAAAAATGTAAAAAAGTGAACTGGAAATAAAAGTTACTATGACCACAAGTTAATAAATACTGAAGTTAAGTGACAAATACATAGGAACACTATTTTCTCTATTTTTATATAGATTAATAATTTTTATGATAAAAGTTTCCAAAAGTCATAATGCTGCTTTCTTATAATACCTAGTAGGTATTTTTTTTTCAGTTTTCACAGCTAACACTGAATGTCAATTCAAGATGATATAACCATGAAGAATACTGCCATCATCTTACCCAATTCTATGTGATCTTTCGTTAGCTCTTTACAGTTTCCAACGTGCTTCTTTGGCACCACAAGATAATGATGAGGTGCTGCCGGCTTGATATCTTTGAAACAAACTAGGTCTTCATTCTAAAGGCAAAAACATTTATGTGTTAGTGAATTTTTAAAAAGAATTTCCTAATGCTGTGCTAGCATGATTTAAACATCACAAATCTCAGACTGATAGGGAAGTGGTACTTATGTCACAATTAAGCCCTACTGGACAACTGTATGAAGACAAGATTTAGCTTTTTTTTTTTTTTTAACTTTTATTTAATGAATATAAATTTCCAAAGTACGATTTATGGATTACAATGGCTTCCCCCACATACCGTCCCTCCCACCCACTACCCTCCCCTTTCCCACTCCCTCTCCCCTTCCATTCACATCAAGATTCATTTTCGATTATCTTAATATACAGAAGATCAGCTTAGTATACAATAAGTAAGGATTTCAACAGTTTGCTCTCACACAGAAACATAAAGTGAAAAATAATAGATGATTTTTTTAAATGATGATGAAATCAGATCAGACCTATTGTCATGTTTAATCCCAGTGAGAGTCAAGTTGGGAGTTGATAATTTTTTTTTTTTTTTTACAGAGGATCAGTTTAGTATACATTAAGTAAAGATTTCAACAGTTTGCACCCCCATAGAAACACAAAGTGAAATATATTGTTTGAGTACTCATTATAGCATTAAATCTCAATACACAGCACATTAAGGACAGAGATCCTACATGAGGAGTAAGTGCACAGTGACTCCTGTTGTTGACTTTACCAATTGACACTCCTGTCTATGGCATCAGTAGTCTCCCTATGCTCCGGTCATGAGTTTCCAAGGCTATGGAAGCCCTCTGAGTTCTCCGATTCTTATCTTGTTTAGACAAGGTCATAGTCAAAGTGGAGGTTCTCTCCTCCCTTCAGAGAAAGGTACCTCCTTCTTTGAAGACCTGTTCTTTCCATTGGGATCTCACTCGCAGAGATCTTTTGCCAGAGTGTCTTGGCTTTCCATGCCTGAAATACTCTCATGGGCTTTTCAGCCAGATCCGAATGCCTTTAGGGCTGATTCTGAGGCCAGAGTGCTATTTAGGACATCTGCCATTCTATGAGTCTGCTGAGTATCTCACTTCCCATGTTGGATCACTCTCCCCTTTATTTATTCCATCGGTTAGTGTTAGCAGGTACTAGACTAGTTTATGTGCTCCCTTTGACTCTTAGTCCTTTCATTATGATCAGTTGTGAACTGAAATTGATCACTTGGAATAGTGAGATGGCATTGGTACATGCCATCTTGATGGGATTGAATTGGAATCCCCTGGTATGTTTTTAACTCTACCATTTGGGGCAAGTCAGCTTGAGCATGTCCCAAATTATACATCTCTTCCCTCTCTTATTCCCACTCTTATGTTTAACAGGGATCACATTTCAGTTAATTTTTAACACTTAAGAATAACTGTGTATTAATTACAGAATTAAACCAGTCATATTAAGTAGAACAGACAAAAAAACTACTAAGAGGGATAATGTATTAAGTTGTTCATTAACAGTCAGGGCTATGCTGATCAAGTCACCGTTTCCCATAGTGTCCGTTTCACTTCAGGAGGTTTCCTTTTTGGTGTTCAGTCAGTTGTCACCGATCAGGGAGAAAGATTTAGCTTTTTAAAATAAAAAAAATTATTTATTTATTCGAAAGGCAGAGTTACAGAGAAAAGAGGTGGGGGGGGTGTCTTCCATCCGCTGCTTCACTCCCCAGATGGCCACAACAGCTGGAGCTGTGCCAATCCAAAGCCAGGAGCCAGGAACTTCCTCTAGGTCCCCCACATGGGTGCAGGAGCCCAATAACTTGGGTCATCTTCCACTGCTTTCCCAGGCCATAGCAGAGAGCTGGATCCAAAGTGGAGCAGCCAGGACACGAATCAGCACCCATATGGGGTGCCAGCATTGCAGGCGGCAGCTTAACCCACTATGCCACACACCAGCCCCAAGATTTAGCTTCCTTCATCAGATACTCATTTATTCCAGAGAATTGCATAAGTCATTTCAGGAAAACAATTATGAATAACTCATTAATAAATACTTTTAAAGGTCTGACTACAGAATCACAGCAAGATGAAATCTTTAATTTATTTTTTTCCAGAATGGCATTTTCTTTCATTATATCAAGAATATAATCTAGGGGCCATCGTTGTCGCACAGTAGCATAAGTATCCACCTGCTGCACCAGCATCCCATGTGAGCGCTGATTCATGTTCTGGCTGCTCCTCTTCTGATCCAGCTCTCTGCTATGGCCTGGGAAAGCAGAAGATGGCCCAAGTGCTTGGGCCCCTGCGTGCAAATGGGAGACCCAGAGGAAGCTCTGACTCCTGGCCTCAGATCTGCCCAGCTCTAACTGTTGTGGTCATTTGGGGAGTGAACCAGCAGATGGAGGACTTCTCTCTCTGTCTCTACCTCTCTAGCTCTGCCTCTCAAGTAAATAAACAAATCTGAAAAAAAAAAAAAAAACCTTGAAACACTCAAATTCCAGTTTAGTAATAACATAAGCACTCAATCCATTATACATATGACATCCATATCCTGGTTTTCCTTACTCCACACAGTAATATACAGAAAACAGGAAAGAAAGTCAGCTATATTTCAAGCTATGAAAATTTCAGTTTTGAGTTTTCCCAAAAGAAAACATATACTAAGTTATTTACTTCATATCTTATATCAAAATATAAAGTCAAAATTAAAACAGAGGCTAGTGTTATGATGGAGTGGGTTAAGCTGCAATTTGCAACACTGACATCCCATTATCAGAGAGGTTTGCTACAAACAGCTACTCTTCTTCCTACCCAGCTCCCTGCTAATGCACCTGCGAAGGCAGTGGATGATGGCCCACATATTTGGGTTTCTGCCATCCATGTGGGAGACCCAGATGGTGTTCCTGGCTCCTGATTTTTCCCTGGCCCACACCTGGTTTTTGCACTATTTGGGAAGCAAACCTGTAGTGGATCTCTCTCTCTCTCTGCACCGCCACCCCATTCCTCTACATTTCAAATAAATAAACAATTAAATCTTTATAAATGAAACAAGACAGTATCCAGGAAGTCTGTATTAGTGTTAGCTCAATTAATTTCTCTCAGAAAAATTCCCTGAAAGCCTTGTTACTCATTAGTTCTTACGACAGGAGCCCAAATCCAATTTGACCAACGGCCTCACATCCATGGATAATATTGATTATCCTAAAATAGCAAAAATTAAAATATGTCCACTTTAATACCATTATTATAGTTTTGCCATCCATTATTATAGTTTTGCCATCCAGCAGCAAATGTAAATACTAGAATGTGTTTCAAAATGATCCGCCAAAAGACCATATTGTTTTTGACTGTTTACTTTTTCCATTACTTGTTTAGTCTTCCAGCTGAGAAAAAATTAATACTAAGAGTGAAATATAACACAGCAAAATTGCCACAATCATATTTCCCAGATTGGCTGATAACACCATTTTAAATTCTTTATTTCTTCTCAATTTTGGCAGTAACTTGTAAAAATCCAGAAGCAAAGTAACGCTTCTTTAGATTAACAGAACTAGAAAGTGTCACTCTAAAGGAAAATAGGGAAGAAAACAAAGAAGTTCCTAAAAATCTGTCATCTCAGACTCCACGAATCAGCCATAAGAATGAACCATCAATGCCCCGTTCTCTGCCCATCTCCCAACCCTCATGTTGTAAGGTTTTCTTTACAAAAAGTCGTATGTAATTTACTTTCCCAATGCTGATCAATAAAAAAACTACCAATCAAAATAACTATCATCATCACTAGAGTAGACAGAATTTCTGCCAAGAAGTCAAGAAACTTGATGCCTTAATCAGCCTACACAGTGACTGAATTAGATTTCCACCAGGCTTTCCAACATATTGAAACCTGGTCTCTAATGTGGCCCTCACTCCCATTGCTACGCCCAGTCAAACCATTATTTATTTAGACTTACACTTTCTATTTTAAGAAAGATTATCCTCCCATTCAAAAGATATGCTGGCAAAGAATATGAAATAATATCTGTATAAAGCTATCCTTGGCAACATGATTTATGATAGTGAAAGACTACAAATAACCCAAATATCCATGGTTCAACTAAGAGCTAGATAAATAAATCATGCTAAATCCATAAAGTGGAATATACAGTAGTTATAAAAGGAAATAAAGTAGATTTCTATGTAATTATGACATTTTTTCCATTATATATTCCTAAGTGTAAGACAAATAAGAAGGGAGCAGGAGAGTGGTTAATCTATCTTTTGCGTAAGGAACAGGAATATAAATGTTGATATATGACACACATTTACTCACAATAGAAGGATAAGCCAAAAATACTTTTCAATATTTCTTGTGAAGGAAGAGGAACCAAATATACTTTGCATTGAAAATGTAAATATTTAGTATTTTTTGAACTTAGAAAAAAAAGCAATCCCTAAAAATTGAAACAAATGTACCTAGAATAGCCACACAAAGAAAAGAATTATCTCAAGTGACTTTAAAACACAGAATTCTGAGTATCCACCCCTAGTGATATTCACTAAGAATTTTCACTTGCTGCTTTGCATATGGACCCTTGGAAAGCCTCCCAATATGAGCATACCACAGTTATCAGGGAACTTCACATAGAAAACCTGCAAAACTGTGGAACAGATAGATGACAGGTGCTACTACACACTCCTGCATCCTTTTCAAAATAATATATATATATATATATATATATGGTGATATATAGTGGGCCATGGGATATTCAGATACCTTGCCAGGAACAGATATGGATTTTCCCCAATCTTTCAGTCTCTCCTTGCACAAAATCTTTGTAAGTAGGAATTGTAGCCACAGTTTGATTAGACCAATCTTTCTCAGCCTCTTCTAATTACCACCCCGAGTGGAAACCATCTTAGATTTTTTTTCTTCTAGTTATCTCCTTCCTATGACATTTTATTACCACAGATATACAGTTCATTGTTTATGTTCTATAAATGAGTAAATATTTTTGCATCTCCCGCCACCATAGGCAAGAACCAATTTTTACCTCTTTTGATAACGGACTGGACAGTCAATCTAT